CGGTCCCGGCGTCACACAATGAAATCAGCGCCTCCGATCATTAATTCTCATCATGATCGTGACGTCAGCGCAGACAGCGGCCAATAGGAGCGTAAGATCAGCGCCGGCCGGGACAGTGCTCGCCCCCGCCCCTCGCCGCGGCGGGGGAGCGGTCGCCACAGCGCCCCGGGCCTCTGAAACGGGCCCGGGGCGCTGTGGCGGCCGCTCCCCCGCAGCCCCGCCGCTCCCTCAGCCCGCACACCCGTCCTCCCACCCCTCACGTCGCCCGCTCTGTCCCCCTCCTCCCGGCCCCGGCCCCTCCGGAGGTGGTGGGTGCCGCCGGCGGGTAGCGGGGGGCGTGTAAAGCCGTAACCGGCGTTTTCTGACAGAAAAAAAAATAAAAAAAATAAAAATTGGCGTGTTTGGCGAGCTTTTCAGTGTGCGGAGGAGTAGGGGCGTGTGGTAAAATCGGAAAAGGCTCAGGGTTTTGGTTAGGTGAGGGTTACGGCAGTCAAGAAATAAACTTTTTGTGGCCGGGGGGTTTTGTGTGGGGAGAGGGGAAATGGCCGTCCCTCCAGATGGGCAGCACAGGGCCGGCCCTCATGGAGGCCGGGCGCTCCGGCTGCATCTTGGCCTCAGCCCCTCGGTGTGTCATGTCCCCAACACCCCGGCTGTGTCGTGGCCGGAGCTGGTGGTGGCCCAAGCCCCACAGCACAACCTCTGCGCGCTCGTGTTGCGGTGGGAGCCCACAGTACGACCCGGTGCAGGGATGGCTGCCCTCCTCCTCCTCAGGGCTCGCTCTCCCAGCCCAAGGAAACCCACTCAAGGAAGAAGCGGGAATTCCGATACCACTCGTCCGCGCTGAGGGATTATGTGGTAGAAATCACGTAAAGTCATTATTTATTGGCTGGGCTGTAGGAACACTCCGAAGTCTCAATCAGATTAGGAGCTTTGCTGTGTTAGTTACAAAGCCCCTAGATATGCCATGTCCCTGGTCTGAATAGTTTACGTTGCAACTCACAATGTTAAAATATTAAAACAGGTGATTAATTTTGTGCAATGGCTTTAATCAGAACTCTCAGTAAACATTTCTGTGGGACTGAGAATTGCCACTGGTTATTTGTAGACAGGGAGGAGAAAAGTGGTCAATGTGTATGTTAATTTTAAAATTACAGTAAGTTACATAATTTAAAAATACTGATTTTTGACACATTTAACTTTGTTTCCAGCCACCTAACATTTTGTCTATGGTTTTCCATGCCGCAGCAAGATGTGCTGAATGTTTGCTCATCCACAAATAAAATACATTCTTCTCGAACATCCTTCAAGAGTTAAATGTTCTGTCTACAGTGTAATTACATTTCCTTCACCACTCTGGAGAGTCAGTCAATCAATTAATAAAGCTTAATCTCAGCTAGAAATCTTAGATTACTTGAATTGTTTCAGTAAAGTGCCAGTCTTTACTTGGTTTTCCTGCTTTATAAAACAGAAGCCAACCTTCCTCTGGTAATGCACGTCTCTCCTGGTGTAGCTGCTGTTGAGAGCTCTGCATACTTCCAGCAAATTAGGGTTATATACCAGATATATTGATACGGTATTTCCTTTGTATCACACCCAGTAATGGTGTGGTGGAGAGAATGGGATGAATGAGGTGGCCCAGCTGAAAAGAAGGTGTTTTTCTGGGTGGGATTGGTGACCTCGTGGCACAGCTCGTTGGTACAACTCGCCCGGTGCAGCACGGTTGCTCGCTCCACCACAGAAAACCAGTGTGAGGAAGCGGCTGAGGATGGGGAAGAGGAGGGGGAATCCCTTTGGGCAGCAGCCCCCAGTTGTATTGGATTAAACGCAGTAGTAAACACCCTGAATTTAATAACAGGATCTTACAGGTAGTCCATGTATATGAGGTTGTAAATGTTGTATTATGCTGCTTCTTCCCCTAGATATATTCCCTTCCTTTGTGTGCCATCAACACTCGCCTTGTAAAAACTAAATAGAGCAACCGTAAAAACCCTACAGCACTTTTATAGAAAATATTGTTTTGGAATTCACTATGGTATGACTCCAGAGAAATCTGGTGTGGTTTCTTCTCATCTTATCTGGGGCTTGGGAAACAAAACCGGTAACACAGTCTTTCTAAAATCCTTTGAAAAAGAAACATGGGTGTTTGATAAAATGCAGCTTATTAAACTCTTTTAAAATCTTGAATAATAGAAAGTAATACTTCAAGGGCTCTTATCTGACTAACAATGGGCTCACAGGTGCTTTTTCTATAGATTGTATCAAAAAGTCATAGAATCATTCTTAAAGGAGACATCAGCTGTGTATTCAAGTTGTCAAAGAAACTAGTATGCAGACCTGTGACCACATCAAAGACTTACAGATCACAGTAACAGAAATTTGTCTCAGCAGAAAAGGTGAGACTAAAAGCTTAACAGAAAAGTCTGTCTCCAGCAAGCAGAATATGAAAAAGAAAAAAGAGGCAAAGGAAATGTGAAAAAATATATTTATGCTAGTGGTAGGAGTGGGGTAGAAGAGGCGTGCTCAGCAATACATACTTTACAGTATAGAAAAGTGAATATATCTGCTAAAAAAGCTGCTGCTATTTGCAGCCACAGAGTGACAAGCTCCAGAAAGAACTTCATACTATTCACTTCCTTCCCTGGTATTGCCTCTCAATGAGACAAACCTTGAGGGAAAAACTATGGCAGGATGAAGTAAAACAAATATTCTTCTACTGCAACCAGATCCACATGCTTCCTCATTCATTAATAACAGATTTAAATTAACAGGGGCTGGCAAATTGGTCCAGTGGTTTAAACAGTAGCCTGGGACATAAAAGGACTCCTTACATGAGGGAATTAGCATCAAAGCGAGACTCTCTGATGTAGCTACTTTGTATTAGCTCATTAAACTAATTAGCTCAGCTTACTATTAGTTACTTAGCTCAGTATGGGTTACTGCTTCTGCGTGGCAGAGAAAGCATTTCTCAGAAATGCCTGCGCTGGTTTCCAGGCACTGTGTGCAGCTTCTCCCCGCTCTAATGGCAGCCGCGGGGGCAGCTGTCCTATCGCCCCCACATGGGGTATAGAATATGTCAAAAGCCCTATTTCCCATTCCACAGTCAGGAACCCAACTGTAAAATCATACAATTCTTCTCTTCCTCCATCCCAAGACCTTCTCCCTTTTCCAGCAGTTGATACCATTTTCAGATTTTTAGCAGATCATGCAGGCAAGAGAAGTCTCTGTAATGATGGCCCAAAGCGTCCCTAAGAGAGGAGCTGGTGTGTGTCCCCCTGGGCAATGAACCCAGACAATTTTGGCCCTACAGTTTAGAGCAACAGCTGTTACTTCAATTTCTTGGCTTTTTTTTTTTAATCTAGAAAACACTAAGGAAGCCAAAGAGGCAAAGCCAACCCACTTAACAGAAACTTTTCGGAAGCCACCTTTACTCAATCAATTGTGCCGTTATTCTGGTGATGCCTTAAAGGACATAATCTCTACAGCAGGTCTGAGGGTGACCTGGTAGAGTCAGCGGTGTCTCAGGGAAGACTGAAAGCAGGGTGGAAAGGAGCACAAGAATGTTTCACCAGCAATTTGTGTTGCAATTTGGTGTGATGCTTCCTGACCTCAAACAAGTAATTTGCCTATTACAGAGCTGTAAGGCATTAAATGACGTAGTTATGCAGCATCAGCCAAAAAGAGACCTCATCTTGTCACTGAATCTGTCCCCGTGTCCCCCAAAAGAGCAGTGTTGAACTTGTGCTTGGGAAAATGTATGGGAGAATCCGATATTGAAAACCCCACAGTTAATCTAGTGCTTGATCGACCTGCCATTAGGAAATTTTTGCTATCGTTCATCCTAAATCTTCAGTCAGTTAAACCCTCAGAAGGGTTTTATTAAATTTCAGGCTCAAGAGTGACCACAGCAAAACCCTGCTGGCTCCTTTCATTTTGTCAGAAAAAAATAATAACAGTTTTCTGAGCAGAGTTCCTCAGCCAGTTCCGAGGCTTTGTTTCCCCAGCTTCGCTACAAGAATGCCACGTCTGACCATGCCAAAAGCTTTGCTAAAGTCAAGATATTTAACATTTACTGCTTCATGTCTCCACAAGGCTTGTTATTCTGTCACGGAGGAAAGTTAGATCAGTTTGACATGATTTATTCTTGTGAATCCAAGTTGCCTGTTGTTAATTTACTTGTTTCCATCAAAATGTATACACCATTCTTTTCGTAGTGATGCCATTGG